CAAAAAATGTAAATATTCAGTTACCACGGACTCCTTAAGCTAAGGAAATAACTACTCTTTGGCGACCATTAAATTTTCTCACTAATTTTACCTCTGAAAATAGGTCACCCCAACTCCTTCCTTCACAAATATCTCGACTTGTATTCAAGATAAATGGATATTTTTAAATTCAAAATAAAGACAAGCGAACAAGCTTTCAAATGATACGAATAACTCTACCTGCCTAAAATTGACGAGAGCCTGATTCCACCACGCTGCCTCACAAATTGGATGTCAAGAATTTGGAGAGACCGGAATGAAGTATTTTAAACGCACTAACCTGGAGAATTTGCTCTCCATCGCTGATTCCAACAAATTTCTTGATTTACTAAAAATGATCTTCACTCTCAAATATAGGGTGCACTATTTTAAAAATGTAAGTGGCTGTTTTTGCTACCGAATTTTTACCAGATAAGTTTAACTGTAACCATTCCGACATGAAAGTAAAACCAAATCGTGTTGTGAACTAAAGGGAAAACAACCAACTTGGGTTCTGCACGCTTATAATACTAATATGACCTCAAGCAGTTGTGAGCGCTATAAAACTCTTAACGTACTTACTTGTCCTTACTTGTATACTGTGTTGGGGTCACTGCAGTCGGAACATGTCTATCTCTGCTCTCTCCCCCCCCCCCTCTTCAGGATCCATCCCAGAGTATGTCTACTTATAGTCTCAAATAAAAACTTTAAATTTGTTCCGGGGTGGGGGACTGGGAGTGTAATTTTCGAGTTTTTATAAAACTCTTAACTACCAAAAACAAGTTTTCCATCTTATCAGAGGTAAAAAGTATTTGGAGATGGCGTCTCTCATAATATTATTATCACCTCACGCGGTACCGGCAGTATAGTAGTTAGGAGCTTCACAATTGCACCCAAGACTGAAGAATTCTTCAATTTTGGATCTCACGCAGAAAAAAATAGATCTAGAGTTCGAATCTCGTGTGGGGAGAACTTTTATCGAGTATCTCAGTCGTTCTGCTGGGAAGTTAAATTTCCCTATGCCTGGGCGGCCATGACAGGCAGGATCGAAACTCGCCTATTAACTGATCTAAATTGTCTTTGTAATATTGTAAAATCACATACATTAAACAGAAAAATAATTTTCAGAACTGAAAAGGTGTTGAAACCCATATTTTATAACTATCGGGTTTTCCTCGATTCTTTATCCACAGCTCACTTTTTGCTACCCCTTCTCTGTTGCGTGGAATGTTACATCAAAGCAGATAAATGAAGACACGTGTTCTGCGTTTAAAAAAGAGACCTCTTCGTTTCTCTGAAATCGAATTCGCGTCTTCTTCTTGCGCCGAGCAACCGAATTATTACACCAAAGACGGCGATTTGTAAACCTAGAAAAGATTGGACGTTTTTCTTAAAAAATAGAAGAGTATCTTAAACACGCACAGAAAAATACTGTTTTTAAAAGACTAAAGTTGCTTCTCTCTGTCTATCTGTGTCACTAGATCTATGTCTGCCAGAGTCACCCTGTCTATCTACTTCACGCTGTCTATCCATGCCATCTTTGCTTCACTCTGTCTATCCATTACATCTCTGCTTCTTAAAAATTTTGTCTATCCATGTCATCTCTGCTTCATTTTGTCTATCTATCATATCCCTGCTTCACTCTGTGCATCCATGACACTCTGTTTATACATGACAATCTTGTTTCACTCTGTCTATCCATAACACTCCTAAATCACTCTGATTCTGTCTATCCATGAAACCCCTGCTTCACTCTGTCTATCCATGACACTCTGTCTGTCCGTCTGTGACACCCCTGCGTCCTTCTGTCCATCCTCAGGCGGGTACTCGGAATGGAGGAGCGTGTTCAACTGGACCTTCACTTACCGGACAGACTCTGACATCTTCGCGCCGGGGAACAGGCTAGCCTGGCGGGACCGGTCACAGCTCCTGTCTCCGGCAGACTATTGTAAGTGGTTTACTCCCCCATTGACATGATTTAGGACATAATACTAGAAGGCGGCGAGTGTCTCCCCTACACTCCAATTGAACTCATCTGATCCACGACAGATGCTGAAGCCATTGTAAAAGTCATAGACAGGCTATTGTAAGTTGCATATAGACTATTGTAAAAGTCATAGACAGGCTATTGTAAGTTGCATATAGACTATTGTAAAAGTCATAGACAGATTATTGTAAGTTGCATAATATAGACTATTGTACAGTAAGTGGTTTACGCCCCTATTGACATGATTTAGGACATAATACATGTACTAGAAGGCAGGTGTGTCTCCCCTACACTCGAGTTGAACTCACCTGATCCACGACAGACGTTGGGCCATTGTAAAAGTCATAGACAGGCTATTGTAAGTGGCAGATAGACTATTGTTAAAGTTACAATTCGTATTTGTTGAAATCACAGACAAAGTAATGTAAAAAAACAACAACAAACAAAACAAACAAAACAAAATAAAACAAAAAAGACAACAACAATAACAACAACAACACAACAACAAATAACAGAAAAGACCATTTGAAAAACAACAGGAGAGAGAGAGAGATGGTGGGGGATGAGAGATTGAGAGAGAGAGATGTAGAGGTGAGGGTGGTGGGTTCGGGAGAGAGGGGGAGGGGGTGAGGTCAGTCTTTGTTTGCTTGCTTGTTTGGGGTATATGCAAGTGGTTGAATGATGCTTTTGATGTAAATGTACATTTTCTCAGCTTTACCTCTCGTTTCATATTGAATTTTAATGAGAGTAATATATATAATTTAAATTTTTTATGTATACCTGCATGTGCTTTACGGTCCTGTACAGCCAAGGAAAATTTCCCTCTGGGATAATAAAGTACTATCTTATCGTATCTTATCTTATCTTGTGAGAGGGAAAACAGTAAGAGACAAGTGGGGATGGAGAGGGTGTTGAGAGGGACTATGGACACAGGAGAGAGAGAGAGAGAGAGAGAGAGAGAGAGAGAGAGAGAGAGACAGACAGACAGAGAGACAGAGAGGGAGAGAGAGAATGAGACAGACAGACAGACAGAGACCGAGAGAGAGAGAGAGAGAGAGACAGACAGACAGACAGACA